GAAACAATATAAATTTTTAGTGTTTCTTCCTAATTTTTTAGAGATTTAACTAACAAACATATTTTTTTATTCATTATTTAATTGATCATTATAAATTAACTAACAAACATATTTTTTTATTCATTATTTAATTGATCATTATAAAATTTATTACTATGTCATTTTTTTATATTTTAATAGTACAATAAGAAAAAGATGAAAATACTATTTGTAATTTTTATTTTTTAATATAACTTTTTATTAATAAATTTTTTTCTTTTTGTATTTGTTGTCCAAAATAATAAAAGTTATTTTATTCTATATTAATAATTTAAGAATAATTTTTATTTTTATCAATATTACCCTTATAAAAAGAAATAAAGATAATGAAACTTATTAAATCACTAGTATTTAGGAGTTTTCAATTCCTAATTATCTTATTTATAAAAAATACTTAACTCTATCTATTAATGTTATAAGTTCTTCCTAACATTTTATTATTTTGAAGGGTCTATATAGTAAGTTATAGCTTGCATTATATTTGATTCAATTATTAATATAATTATATTTTTATTTAAAAAAATTAAAGAGATAAAATTAATAATCTTAATAAAATAAACAGTACCCATAACCTCATCCTTGAGAAAGAGAAATCCAACCATCTCCTATTTATAACCCGCCATCAAATAAAAGTAAAAAAAAATCAGGCATTCATCAAACAAAAGTGGCTGTTTGCAGTGTAGTTTCATCCGTTAAGATTTTTATTTCCACACAATCAGATTACTTCTTCTATTTCTTGAATTGATCCAACTCCAAGTTGTAAAGCATCCATAGGTGACGAGCGCCCACACCTCAAGAGATTAAGTCATCCTTCCCTTTTGCCTTAATCCAATAACAGATTCTATAACTTACGAGTTCCACTATCTCTTCTTGATTAAATTTCTCCGATCCAAATTTCTTCTGATTCTGTCCTTCCCAAATGGTCTATATACCTGCAAAGTGCAAACCATGATGATAATCCAACTGTTCCCTCCACTTAATTTTCGGGTCCAGACTGCCAAGTCCACGTGTTTGTTAAGTGTTGCCTCCCATCAGGACTAGCTGTCAAAAAGTGCCCACTATTGATAATATTTTGTCTATATTTTTTTGGTGAAAATATTTTGGCCATATTTCCCACGCCATTATACAGGAAAAAAAACAAATGATTTGTATTTTCCTCCTATTAAGCACACGACCTATCCCCCTGCATGGCCAGAGCGCGTCTTCCTCTGTTTTTTTTTTTAGCAGTAATTTTGGTTTGAGGGGGAGAAGAGGAGAGAGAAAAGATTGTTTTGATCAATTAAATTATATTATTTGAAATATTATAATTTAATTAATTAATAATTTTATTTTTTATTTTTTATTTTAAATATATTATTAAATTTTTTAATAATAACATTTTGACTTGTATTAAAAAATATTAATTTTTTGTTATTGAGATTTAAACTCCAAATTTAATTTATAAATTAATATTTTGTTATTAATGAATGTGATAAATACATTTTGTATTTCTCTTTTAGTTTTAAATAAAATAAAGCATATTGTATAATTTGTACTACCCTCCTCTTATAATAACTCTTATTTTATAATTTAATATAATTTAAATTATAAAATAAAAATTTTTAAATAAAAAATTAAAATTAACCTTTTTTTTTTTACAAAGACAATGATTAGTAGATTAGGTTAGTTATTTGTTAGAAACTGAGAATTTGATTTCCAAATGAAAGTAAGTGCCACCCCTTTTTATTAAGGAGCGCAATCCAATAAGTCGCATGGTGGAATTCAAAATTAACTTATTTAATTAGTAAGTATCTGTATATAACAAAGAAATTCAAACTACCTAAGATTTTCCTCGTGCTTAAATGTGCTATCAAAATCAATTAATTCTTTCAAAAGATAGGGGGACTTTATTTATCCCGCAAAGTGACTTATTCCGCTACTATTGCACAACTCACTCGAGGGCAATTGCAGTCGTCATTCATCCATTAAATTTGATTAAAATACAAATTTATTCTCTTAACTTTAACATATATATTGAAATTGTTTTTAAAATTTAAAAAATATTGTAATTATTTATAAAATTTAATTTTTAGTATTAAAATAATCTTTTGTTAATAAAAATTTACTTAACTTATTATCTTACATAAAATTAATTTTTTTTAAATATTAAAAAAAGGTAAAATTAAATAATCATATTTTATTATTATAATATGTTTTCAATTACATATAAAATTGATACATACTTAAAATTGAAAGATTAAATTAGAACTTATAACGAAAGTTTAAAGATTAATTTAATATTTATTTTAAAGTTTAAGAACTAAATTAGTATTAAAAATTAAAATTTAGGGTTATTTTAATACCAAAAATTAAAGTTTAGAAATAATTTTGATACTTTTTAAAGTTTAATAATAATTTTAATAAAAGTTTGAAAGTTGAGAGATTAAATTGATACATATAAAAAAAATGTATTTTCTCCATTAAATTATAATAATTATATTTTTTATTTTAAATTTTTTTTTATTTTATACTTTTAAAATACATATTAAGATGTATTTATTGAATTTTTTATAATTAATTTATATAAAAAATATATATTAATTTTAATTTGACTAATTGATCATTATAATTATTTATGTGATAAAATATTAAAATAAATATTAATTTTTATAACCTTTGTTCAGGGGTGTTGGTGATGTAGATGGATGAGTCAGCAGAGGTGACAATGTAGAGACTAACTAGGATGACACTCGAGAAAATAAGGGGGGTTCTTTCGGTAGCACCTGTCTCACGTGCAGAAAGCTACGTGCTACGGGCCATCCCGTTCTGCTAGGTGATGATATCTTGCGATGCACCTTTCAGTGAAGCTTTTTTTTTTTTTTTTTTTTTAAAAAGATGAATCTTCCAACCAAACCAATAAAGCTGGGCAGCAATGGCGAGACTCCAAGGGTTCAAGATGATTACACAACTATTAAAGACATGATGGGGAGAAGTTGTATATTGTTAGGGAGGGGCAGTCCGGATGGTGATGATTTCCAGATGGTTTCAGCGGGCAGGGTAGTAGATTGAAGACGGAATATTTTTAGAGGAAAAATGGGAGTTTTGGCAACGAGGGAGAAGGGGTGAAGTTAGGTGCATCAGTCTATTTTTGTGCTGTATGCATCTATATGTTTTGGAAAATGAAGAGCATATAATTTATATATATGCAGTGGTATTGTTGTAATTTCTAATTGATGGCTTAAAGGTGTGCAGAAAGGTTAGGGTGAGCTGTCGAATTTTCGGTGGTTCCAGGCACTGCTGGCAACTCTGACAGTGGCATCATGAATTGCCCAACGGTTTCAACGAAGCTTTGCTGGTTCTGGTGAAAAACTAGAAAGTGTATATTTCTGGCAATGTCCCCAGCCATACGAAATCCCATCTTTGGGGAGGTGCTTGAGTGCAGCCGTAAAAAACAACATCTGCACAAGATTTGGTAAGTTCCCCAAGCTCTGCGTAAGATTTTGGAAGATTCTGCAAGCAAATGGTAATCTTTTACAGCAGTTTCCAAAGCCATGGAACTTGTGTAGCCACCTTTGCATTAAATATGGTTGCAAGTTGCTAATGGCGACCGAGACAACATCTCTGGTTAGTTTCTGGTGGGATTTCCAGCCTTCGATTAGCATCAAATGGCACTATTTCGGGAATCAAGTTCATTTCCATGTCTTTGTCACCCAACCCTTTTCTGGCGAAGTCGAGCAGCATCGCCAACGCCAAGCTTCACAGGTGCGAGTGCCTTGCTTTGCCAAACGGGCAGCGTTCATCCAACCATCCCTGCCAAGTCGTTACTCTCATAGTTTATCCCAAATAATCCCCATGAGTTTGGATTCATGGGCTTGTGTTTGTCTGCAGAAACAGCAAGGCATATGTGAGTATATATATTTAAGAATAAGAAATATATAAGCATATGCAGCGAAGAAGGAAACTCCCTCGTGTGTTGAAGGAGACTATGTGGATGAATATTTGCTGCTCTCATTCGCTTGCTGGCCATGGCCGACATCAGTATATTGCTGTTGTACAGGGCTGGTGTTACACCAGAATGAGGAACAAGTGGTATGGGTGTGTATTGCGATATTGTTATCCCGAGCCAAGCTTTGTTGGCTTGCGATACCTACTGACACATAAGACATAAAAAATATGTGTTATGAGTCGGGATTACCGACGATCGGTAATTTTGTCCCTTTGTGTAGAAGAGTGACAATGTGCATGACCTCTGGCCACATTATGTATGTATTGCGGGGTCAGCCATGCAAAGCTTCCCCGTAACCAAAGGGACAACAATGGTTAGCTTTGCCCATGGCTGGAGCGTGAACTATGTGGAATCGAAAAAGCACTCTCACTAATCCGCCAAGCCGCAAAGGGGGTAAATCTCATTAAACCGGACTTCGCCGTATCTATGAATATGTATAGAGAAAGGTGGAGTTGTCTCCATGGAAGGGGGACGCTAACCACATTTATGGCCTTCGATATGACAAGGTGTGATACCATTGACAAATGCTGGCCCTTCTTGCCGTATCCACACCGTCATAGAGTGGTCCTGGTTGTTGTTGTTCGCCGGGCACTGCATCACCATGCATGGGCAACCACCAAGAGACTGTCGGTCGCTACTTGATGGATTTTTATCACTAGAGAGTAGCCATCCCATCCGATCACAGGGTTGCAATTATTACCGGTCTCATGCTAATCACACCGAGTTGCGCTAACTCTTTGTTCGTTGCCGGGAGCCAGTGAGATAGAATATGTAGAGATCCAAACCTTTGTCCATTGCCGGGAGTTGGTGAAATGTAGAAATGTGTAGCCTTTTGTCCATTGCTAGAGGTTAAATGAGATAGCAAATTTAGCCCCTTGTCTATCCCTGGGAGCTGTGTAGATATGTAGATATGTAGATATGATAAGATCAGCCTGTTGTCCATTAATGGGAACCAGTGATAGAGATATGTAAAAATAGATGCTTGTAGTAAAGTAGGCTCCTTATCCATTGTTAGGAGCCACAAGATATAGCAATGCACATCGCTGCAGAGGACATGACCATCAAAAAATGCCCAGCCATGTCGTCAAAATAGATCTAGCCATGTCTGGCCATGTATGTGAAAATAGATGCTGAAGTAGGTTACATTCTGCGATGTCTCCAACGAAGTGTATGAGTGTCATTTCTGGCAATACTGATTCCATTGTATCAATTAATAGAAAAATAGAAACTGCACATTTGACGTAGGACATGAGCGTTGTGGGCCCTGACTGATGTGGATCAGCACACGCCATTGATTTTGTAGCCATACAAATTCATCTCTCAACAACCTTTTATAAATTAATTAT